TCTTTTTGCTAGCGGAGGGTCCTGCCTCCATGCTGATGGCCACTGAATGATCAGGGTGGTGGTGGTTGCTGAAGGCTGGGGTGGCTGTGGCAATTTCTTAAAATAAGACAACAATGAAGTCTGCCACACCAACTGATTCTTCCTTTCACAAAAGATTTCTCTGTAGCATGTGATGCTGTTTGATAGCATTTTACCCAGAGTAGAACTTCTTTTAAAATTGGAGTTAATCTTCTCAAACCCTGCTGTTGCTTTATCAACGAAGTTTATATAATATCCTAAAACTTTGTTGTCATTTCAACAATGATCACAGCATCTTCACCAGGAGTAGATTCTACCTCAAGAAATCACTTTCTTAGTTCATCCATAAGAAGGAACTCCTCATCTGTTAGTTTTACCATGAGATTGCAGCAATTCAGTCACATCCTTAGGTTCCACTTCTAATTCTAGTTCTCTTGCTATTTCCACCACATCTGCAGCTACTTCCTCCACTGAAGTCTTAAACCCCTCAAAGTCATCCATGAGGGTTGGAATCAACTTCTTCCAAACTCCTGTTAATGTTGATATTTTGACCTCCTCCTATGAATCAGAAATGTTTTTAATGGCATCTAGAATGGTGAATCCTTTCCAGAAGGTCTTCCATTTACTCTGCCTAGATCCATCAGGGGAATCACTATCTACGGCAGCTATAGCCTTATGAAATACATTTCTTAAATAACAAGACTTCAAAGTCAAAATTACTCCTTGATCCACGGGCTACAGAATGGATGTTGTGTTAGCAGGCATGAAAACAACATCAATCTCCTTGTACATCTCCATCAGAGCTCTTGGGTGACCAGGTGCATTGTCAATGAGCAGTAATACTTTGAAAGGGATCTTTTTTTCTGAGAAGTAGGTCTCAACAGTGGGCTTAAAATAGTCAGTAAACCATGTTGTAAACAGATATGCTGTCATCCAGGCTTTGTTGTTCCCTTTGTAGAGCACAGGCAGAGTGGATTTAGCATAATTCTTAAGGGCCCTAGGATTTTCAGAATGGTAAATGAGCAATGGCTTCAACTTAAAGTCACAAGCAGCATTAGCTCCAGCAAGAGAGTCAGCCTGTCCTTTGAAGCTTTGAAGACAGGCAGGGACTTCTCCTCTCTAGGTATGAAAGTCCTAGATGGCATCTTCTTCCAATATAAGGCTGTTTCATCTAAACTGAAAATCTGTTGTTAAGTGTAGCCACTTTCATCAGTTATT